ACGATGATGGCACGACGATATGGGGCCTCATTCTTTACCAAATCCCTTGGCGGTGGCAATGTTCGATCTGATCCCTTACATGCTTGAACTTTCTTGATTTCTTTTTCGGGGAACATGTTTTGAAGCCTATCCAAGATTTGGTGGTTTGTGATAAAAGTCTTTCCTACTCTTGGCAACATTGGTTGGATGTCCTTGATGATTTCTTCTAGTTGTCTCTGAGGTGACATGTTCATACTCTGCGATTCGGCCGTCTTGCCGTCAATGCGGCGGCGCTTGCACTCGTTCGACAATTGCTCCAGGGGTGTTGGTGGCAGTCGCCCACCTTGGGACTTCTGCATGGGAGAACTCACACGGATCCGCTTGGATGCACTTTCCTCACTCGGTTGATCTATTCCTCTGGTTACAAGGGCAGTAACCCACGGCTCATGTTTCACTTTCAACATCACCTTAGCTACTTGTCTTGCAAACTTTCTTGGATAGTTCTCTGTATAGCTACTGACGGTGATTCTCCCGAGAGGCGTTGTCACGGATCCGGCAATGGGTCTGTGCTCATGATCTCGACGACACACCCGGCCATGCAACGAGGCATACATCTCTTGCGATGTCGTTCTTACAGCCATCTCCTTTTGTATGAGTTTGTTCGTTTCTGGACATGTCAACTGGCCTACGCGACACATGTCGAAATTGGCTTCCTGAGTATATGAATACAGCTCTTGCAGGAGTGGGGTCTTGAACATGATGGATTTTCGTGGCTGCTCCCAGTGCATGTGGTTTCCTAGCTGACGTGACATGCGAAGCAAGACTACTCCTAGTGCAAGTTCGAACAAGTGTGACTCTCTCTCTCTCTCGTTGAACATGTTCACACAATTGGATTGATCTCATTTCATTGAACGTGTTCCATGCGCTCCATGGTCCACAGGTGGGACTGAACCATATGTGACGGGGTCTTTGTTTCCACACCATTTGAAACAGAACACTTCTCCCCTCCTTGGTTTTGAGGTCCCCCTGCGCCCTTCCAAAACGGTTGGCTCTGCCGCCCAGCAATTGGACTTGCTTCGTCAGTTCACTGGCCTCATGACAAAACACTTCCAGCAAATGTAGACGGCTGCACCCGTTCGAGATCACTGGATCACACCTTGCTAGACTGGCTTCCTTTGAGATTTGCTGAACCAGTGCATGGAATTTACGGGACAGACTGTGAGTCTTACCTGGACTGACATCTCTTTGGCACATGGACGATACATGTATATCAGCGTCCTCGAAGGAGTCTAGCCAGGACGAGCTCATGAAGCCCGGAGGTGGGCAACGATCTCCTGCATCGCACCTTCGATGGTCTGAAGGCGGGTGTCCATGGCTGCCATCTCCGTGTAGATCTCTGGCTGGATCTCGATCTCCTGAACTGGTTCCCAGGATTCGTCCTCGGCAAGATCTGCCAAGTCCTGTGGGGTCACTTCCTGAATCGGCTTGGCCTTGGCCTTGCTCTTGAGAGCCGGATGAAGTGGCCTCTGACTTGGTGATGGCTGCAGGTCTTGACTGTTCAGACCCAGTTGGTGCTCGGCATAGGTCACCCTCAGTGAGATGTAGTGGATGAACTTCTGATGGTTGACCTTGTTCGACGAGTGGTAACTTGCCTGGAACCACTTCACATACTTGCCCTCCTTTTCCCACATCTCCGAGTAGGTCCGACCGAGATGGGCTGATCCGAAATCGATCTTGGCTTGGCCCATTTCGTCCAGTGATAGGAGCTTGAAGGCTTCGAGCTGATCGAGGGCTTCTTCCTTCTTTGCTTCCCCCATGACACGTGCCAAGCGGGCACTCAGAGCGGCTGCTTCGGAGGTCGGCATGATAGTGATGCGGCGCAGGTGAACGAATGGGATGGTCACACGTGTGTGATTGCACAGATCCGGTCTTGAACCCAAAACGGATGACACCGGGCTGGACCCCCCCTGGAACCGATTCGAATGAGACTTTCTCACCCCCGCGAACGCTCGGACGTTCGTTTGGTTTCTTTGTGTTCGTATGGGTCTTTGTTGATTCGGGCATGGCGGCTTCGAACTGTTGGGTTCTGCTTGTTACAAGACCTGTCCTCGCCTGAACGTTCTGTTTCATCATGGTCTTGGTTTCCGACTGCACTTGTCCAGGCTTCTGGACAGAGACACTTGGCAAGCTTTTGCAATTCAAAGTGGCGAAGGTCTCGGCAGGTTCAGCTTCGGCATCTTGACTGGTGGGTGTGATCAGATCATTTAGATCAACTAAAAACAAACCCTTGGCATTCAGCTGAATTGGAATATTGCGCTTCAAGAGAGTGCTTTTGATCACTTCACCAGCTGTATCTACGGTGGCTCCGATGGCTCGGAGCAGAGTATTCGACAGCAGGAAAGGTGTATGGCCTGGCACTATGGCAATCTTGAGCTTCAGCGGTCCGATTGGGACAACGAGTGCATGCTTGCTTTCAAGTGTCCCTTGATTCCCAAACCGAAAAACCACTGAACAACGACACCTTTGGACCTGCTTCCGAACCTCTGGCCTTAGTGCGGCTAGGAGATTGGCTACGAAACCGCTTCCTATGACGGTCTTAGTAGCACCTGTATCTACGATTCCCAGGGCATCGCGAGTTGAAAAGCTCGAGAATGCACTGGCTTCGGTGTCATGCATCGACTTGGCTTCAGGTGATTGGGCGGTGCTAGCAAACGCACTCTCTGGCAAGCTAGTCCTGACATCAAAATTCTCACACTCGGTGATCCTTTCCCCTTTGTGGGCTAAATCAATGATTTCCCCTTCATTGGTCTCCCACAAACCCCTCAGAACACCGGTGTCCCTTGATTCACAAACACACAAAACTTGTTTCGTATTCTCTTGAGTGGCGTTGAGCGTCTCTTTGGTCAGCTCTGGCAAATCCATGAACTCCAGTGGCAGCGCGTCCTGCTCATCATACACTGTCACCAGTGTAGGAGCAACAGCTGTCGATGGGACCGACTGAGATCCACGTTGCGGGCATTCAGCCTTCCAATGGCCTTTTCGGCCACAAATCCTGCAGCTGCTCTCCATGATCCTCTGCTGGAGGCTCTTTCTATTGCCAGAAAACTTTGAGGAGTAGGGGGATCGCTTTCCTTTTTCACCCCCTTTCCCTTTTCCTTTGCCTTTGTTCTGACTTGTTGGCCAGAACCCACGGCTTTTGAAGCGCTCTGACAGGCGGCGACGGGCATCCATGTATGATGATTGTGTCAATGCTAGATCTTCGTTGTCTTGCGCTGCATCCAACATTGTGGATTCATACTCCATGATCATGGCGGCGTCCTCGTCACCATCATTTGCAAGACTCTCAATCCATTCTTCCTCGGTCCAATCATCGAGATTGTAGGTGGGCTCGTCGGGTGCTTGGTCGTGACCATCAGCTTCTTGGGCAATGAACGCATTGGCCTCATAGGTTTTGGTCCTTGGATTGTTCTGCTTTCCGCTGCAGTGGACCTCATGGAAGAATCGACTCCCCAGGAGCTTCAGATTGGATACCACCTCTCTGTACTCCAGTGAACCCTGCGATTCAACAATCAGTCTCTTCTTGTCTTCTGAGCTCAGGGCTGAGTTGCGAAGCAAGATGTATGCACGAAACTCATCCATGCCGACCTTCATGCTCAGCAACTCTTCGAATTGATGATCGCGCCGAGCTAGATAGCTCTCATGGGTCTCGTCGGCTCTTTGGACTGTGCTGTAGATTGCACGTTCAAACCTTTCAAACTTGTCCTCCAATCGGGATTTCCCCAAATCCCTCCAAGGGCCTCCACGATGGCCTTCACTCCCTCCAAGTTTCCAACACGCAGCTTGTTTGGGTCCAGTCTGGCAACTCCCTGAAAGGCTGATCCCTCACATTGCAATACAACTCGTGGGGCAAGCAGGTGTAGTTGTTCTGGAGGCCATAGTGATGCCAGGAACTCTACTTTCCGTGACCATTCAGTGAGGTCCGTCTCACCAGGCTTGAAAGATGGAACCTGGCTCCATGGGAGATTGCTCAAACCTCCTGTGGAGGAACTGGAGCCAGCTGAATCACCTTCCGGTGGCATTGGGCTGTTTCCTCCCTGGAAACCGCAGCTCAACAACTCTGTGACAACACCACCAAGACAATGTGCAACCTGTCGACTGCCTTGCGGCCAAACAACGTATTCACCGACTCAACCACGCAGTCAACAACAACCAAGCACAAGGGTCAGGTGTTGTCTGGAGCTTTAGCGATAGCTCCGCTACCAATGTGATTGACACAAAGGTAGCAACAAAAGATCCTCCTTCCCTCGCACAGCCGCGTGCGTTTTCCACTCACAGCTCACCTGAAGGTTGGTACGAACGGTCGGGCGCCTCGCCCTGCAGTGTCCTCACTGCTTCTATGGCTCAGGTCACGGGTGACCCACCCTACACCACCCTTGCGGCCTCGCACACTCGTGGCTTTGGACGTGAACACACCTGAGTGGGTCAAGACTGGTTCCTCAGTGACCGAAAGGTTCGAAATTCACATACTGTAATATATACATACACACATACTGTGTATATATATATATGGATCAATCATTGTGACGTTCACTAATGGACAAGGTTTGGGCTTGAAGGTTGAATGCAATCGATTGCCAGGATGCTTGGAGCTCAAGAGGCTCATTGAAGCTCATGGCTCTCAAGATTCACTGCAGCTATCTTTAGTTTTGCAGCCTCCCTGAAAATATTCTAAGTCCTCGGAAGGTCCGCTCTGTACAGCTTTGAGCTGGAAACACTCCACTTTTGGAGTGAATCTTGATTGTGCAAAAAAGTCATGTGCAATGCGGCCCAGTGTAGTGACTGACACGTCAGTAGGTTTGTCCGAAAACGAAGGGATCGGGATCCCTGAGCTATACAAGCTCAATCTTTTGAGACACTTTTCAACCATTCCCTCAGCAAAGCTTCGTCCTATTGAGACGACATCTACTGTAGCAGAGTGCACTGGAAACAGATAAGTGATGTGTGATTGCTGATGGCCCCAGGCCAGCACCGACACTGCTGGCGTTCGTTCAGCTGCTGGGCGCAAGACTTTCTTCAAGCTGCCAGTATATCAGAGAGTGGTTGTGACCCCACTTCAACTTTTGTAAAGACGCTTGTAAATTGATCTGTGGGCCACAACACGATAAGAGATTTATGTGGCAGGATAATGCCCACACCCTGCTTGAGCCTTCCTGCAGCCACAGCCCCATCAGGTGCAACATGGACATCGAAGTTCCAAAACCATCAGTTTTTCGCTCCCATTTGGCAGCTTGGCCGCAGCTTCATTGAATGCTAGTGCGAGAGATTGGCAAAGTTCTGATTCACAGATCTTTCTTTGCCAGAAGGTGTTTGTGATTGTGAGTGTGCAAGCTTCCAAAACACCAGAGAAACATGCAAAAACTAGATGGTTGGTTCCCTGCACGCGTCAGATGGGTACTGGTAGCTGGGATGGCGTGTTTGCGAGGGTTGATCCGTTTGACCAGTGCAGCTGCCACAGGCTGCAGCCTTACCAGCCAGCAGCTGAGTTGGCGATGGCGACAGGAGATTTCGTTGTATAGGCAACAATGGAAGTCAGGAAGGCTTTTAGAATCCTAGAGAAGGAGAATGAGCACACTTTGTTGGAGTTTTTTCCTTTCCGTTCGAGAGGCCTACATGGTCCCCCAGCAAGTTTGCATCCTTCAGGCCTGGCGCGGAGCAAGACAGTCAGTTGTATGTATCCGTCCAGCTCTCCAGGCAATGCCCTTGACGGCCTCCGGGAAGATTGACCGGAAAGCGCTGCTATTGCAAGTGGAGCCAAAGAAAGCAGGCCCGTGTTCTAAAAAAAGCAAAGCTCAGGTATCAGGGGAATTTGCTTCAGCTTCAGGTGGATTCCAGCTGCTGGATGTCCGTGTGTAGAATTCATTCAATGCAAACTGGCAGCGCTGAGTTCTCAAGACCGGGCCAATTGAAGGAGAGGGTTTGCCAGCGAAGAGCTTGAGAGATGCTGTGGTGTTGGCCTTGGCACGGATCTCAGACTTCAGAAAAATCATGGCACAGATGAATCTGGATGCATATTATGTTTGCTTATTTTGCTTTTGCCAATTTAGATACAAAATAACTTAAATTGTATTAGATCATCCTGTGGAAATCCGGAAATCCCTCCGTGGCTCGTTTTTCTTGACGGATCTCCACACTGCACACCTTTTGAGAAAGGTGATGCAGACTGGCGGGAAAAGCCCTCTGAAGCTTGCGACTCTAACCGTCATTGTTAGAGCGTACAATGGCCACGCACACGCACACACTCGCACACACCAGACTCCAGACAAAAGCTTCATCGTTCGGCGTCAAAGCGATTCACGGTACAGCGTCAAAATGTCCCCCATTTTGCTCTCTTCGATGAGTCAGGGGAGGATGTCAGCAGAAGAATGAGCAAACGCATAGTGGATTTTTAAGACCGTCATGAGAGCTTCACAATCCGACTGTCACATCCTTTGGCTCTGAAGCACAATGTGATCCACAATTCCTTTTGAATATGAAACATCAACATCTCTTTTTCCATGGGTCTGGGCCAGTCTGGGTCTCCATGTTTGAGTTCCACCTCACCGAGGCATCGGTGTCGGTGGCCCAGGTCGACTGGAGCGCCTCCTTGGCCTCGCTTGGGGCCGCCCGGCTTCTTCGGTGTTGGGATTTGTGGTGAAGAATTTGGGACTGGGCACGAAAGATCACTATTGGAGTGCACCAGTCATAGGACATCAGGACGTATCTCACTAGCGCAACTCCGCATTGAACGTGCTGGTTTGGGTCAAGAATAGAGATAGAGGATTCTGCTAGTAGGTTGGTGGAAGGGTTCGGACAGCAATGGGCATGAGGTGGACTCTGTTTCTGCAGCTCCACTTGCAGACAGGCTGGCTTGTGTAAGCATGCTTGACGAACAAGCGCCTGACTGATCGGCAGTAGTCAGTAGTAGTTGGAAAAGTCGTGAAGCCCCTGTGCTCTGAACAGGCTTTCTCAAGATGTGTAGCTTGACTGCCAGTACCATGGACCGCTGGAAGTGCGAGAACTCATGGACTCTCCTTGCCCAGAAGATCAGCAAGCTGATTTATTGATTTGTTGCACTTGTGTGAATCTGCGATGTTGCATTTGGGTGTGCACTATGGGTGGGGGAGAAGCATTGATTTTTCTTTCACCGTGATTTCTGCTAGTCCCTCTAAACTCTAGATATCTACATGTATCCAATATCGATTGAGTTGAACTAATTTGTGTGATGTGCACTCCGCAACCAAGGTTGGGTGGCCGAGAGGAAGTGCCATTGGATATTCTACTTGGAGATGGCAGCCTTTCGGATTTGTGTCACCCAGCTGCCAAAGCAGTTCTGAACAATGCAGGGAAAGACAGAGAAAGGAGGAAGAAGATCCAGTAATCCTACATCATCCTTCTGGGATTTGACCTTTCTTCTTGACTCTGTGGTGCAGAGCATTGCAGAGCTCAGGTGCCTACTTGGCTGAGCGGCGGCAGCTGCTTGTGTCCGGAGAAAAGGGGTTGGACTCTGGCACCTTCAGTGAAGGGTTCCTTCCACGCCACTGCGGTAGAGGAACGTGCTCTTCCAAAGCAAATCTTTTGCATCCAGCTTAGCAAAATATGTATATATATAATATACACACATGCATCTACGTTAGTGCCTGGAAGTGTATGAGTTTTTCCCCAAACAGTTCACTGTCAGGGGTTCTCAATTCTTTCTTAAGATGTGTCCGCCCTTTGTGTCACTGCTGGTGTCCGCTAGCCGTAGCATTTCTATTCATTTGTCTCCCAGGTCTGTCACTGCTGGTGTCCGCCCTTTTCCGCTGGCGATGCAACATTTCTATTCCCAGGTCTGTCACTGGTGTCCGGTGTCCGCTGGCCATGTAGCATATCTATTCATTTGTCTCCCAGGTCTGTCACTTGTGCCTTTTCCCTTGGCCATGCCGCATTTCATCTGTTTCCCAGGTGTGTCGCTGCAGACCTGGGAGACAAATGCATAGACATGCCGCATCGCCAGCGGAAAAGGGCGGGCACCAGTCACTGGTGGTGTCCGGCCTGTTCCGCTTGCCACATCCGTCACTCCTGGTGTCCGCCCTTTTCCGCTGGCCTTGTCTCCTTTTGTCTTCCTCCTTGTCTCCCTTCTTGTTTGTCATTGTGTCCACCCTGTCTCCATTCCTTCTTTGTCTCCGGTCTTGTCTCCCTTCTTGTGGGTCATTGTGTCCGTCTTGTCTCCCTTCTTTTGCTTTTGTCTCCCTTCTGTTTCCTTTTGTCTCCCTTCTTGTTTTCCTTCTTGTTGATCATTGTGTCTGTCTTGTCTCCCTTCTGTTATCTTTTGTATCCCTTTTTGTCTCCCTTCTTGTTGGTCATTGTGTCTGCCTTGTCTTCCTGGTCTCCCTTTTTTTCCGGTCTTGTCTCCCTTCTTGTGGGTCACTGTGTCCGCCTTATCTCCCTTCTGTTTCCTTTTGTCGCCTTAGTTGAGCCTTTTTCTTGTTGCTACAAGCATCTGCCATGGCGTGCCTTTTGTCTCCCTTCTTGTCGGTGATTGTGACTGTGTCCGTTTTGTCTCCCTTCATTGTGTTGTCTCCCTTCTGTCTCCCTTTGTCTCCGGTCTTGTCTCCCTTCTTGTTGGTCACTGT